GTGCCACAATGAACTGGAAAGGAAATAGGATATTTGTCGTGCCAAGAAGACTGACCTAGCACTGAACTTTTTCATTCTTTCAACCCAGTATTTCCAATGGGAGCCAGAAAGTGCACTTCACATAACTGTCACAGTCCTCACATTCTTGACAGGTCTGCTGCCTTGATCTACTAATAGACAGAAGTACATAGATGTTATGAAGCTTTCCTTAGGCCACATAGTAGATTAGAACTACATTGTAGTTATGATACCTACTTCCCAAACATTACCATAAAACTCTTGAAATTTGCTAGGTGTGGCATAATACACAGGCAATAGGGATGCTGAGAGGAATACATTATTAGTATACTTCAGGGATTGAAGAGAAAGGTCAGGAAACCATGGTGATTTCACCAAGTATCTGTACTTTTCTGACTTTGTAAGGTTTCAAAATAGACTTGATGACAACAGGACCATTGTTCTGCCATGGCGGTTGACCTGGCACTGAACTTTTATCATTATTTCAACTCAGGATTCCCAGTGGGAGCCATGAAGTGCACTTCATGTAATTGTCACAGTCCTCACACTTTGAGGAAGTCATTATACACAAAATTACATAGATGTCATGAACCTATATCTTAGGCCACAAAGTAGATTAGAACTACATTGTGCATATAATAAGTACTTCCCAAACATGACCATCAAATGCTTGAAATGTGCCAGCTGTGTTAGCACACATCTGTAGTCTCAGAAGAAGGGAGGCTGAGAGGACTTCATGTTATACCTCAGGTGTTGAGGAGAAAATTTAGGAAACCATGGTGATTTCAGCACAGCATCTGTACTTTTCTGACCTTGGTAAGATGTCACAATAGACTTGAATGACAACAGGACCTTGATCATGCCAAACAAGGTTATCTGAGCCTGAACTTGGTTCATTATTCCAACCCAGGATTCCAAGGGGGAGCCACGAAATGCATTTCATGCAGTAAATGTCACAATCCTCACACTTTTGGAGAGGTCTATCGCCTTCATCTACCAAGAACATTTATCTGTGCCACACAGGGTTTTAGAACTACATCAGCCTGGGGATACATAGGGGGAACTTGTCTAAGACAAACATATGAAAAGACAAACTACTGAATGCATTTACAATGTGATGGAGGTCATCAAGTGGAAATTTAACTCAACTCAATTTTCAAATCGATACCAAAATATTGCAAAACTTCAGATATTCTTGGAACATCAGAGTCAGAGAAGTCCTCTTTTTTAGTGGCAGGATTCATGAACTCTAAATATAAATCCAAGATATTTTAGGAAAAATAAAAGAAAACATAAGAAAGAAACATATTTGAAGAAATATATGATCCCCTTTAATACAGGGTATGATTTTCAAAATTTGCACCAGATTTTCAGGCCTAGATTATAAACCCAAAACAAGAAAGTCATACCTAGGCTGGTGAGGTTAATTTCAAATCCAGCTACTTCTGAAGTTGAGGCAAGTTGACCATAAATTGAAGACCAGTCTCATATACAAAGTAAGACCTAAAACAAATATCTGGGTATGGTACACCAATCTATAATCTTGACACTTGGAAGGTAGAGGCAGGAAGACCAGCTGTTGAAAGCCTGCCTGGGCTACATAGTGATACTCTTTCAAAAACAAAACAAAAGAAGAAAAAAGAAATTATGTATTCTCTGGGTGCAACTAAGTTGGTAGAGTTCTGACCTACATAGCATATGTGAAACTCTGACTTTAACCCTCAGCACTCTTTATATGACCATGGTGGCTGATTCTCACTTTCCCAGCACCTGGGAGATGGAGCCAGTGGTATCAAAATTTCAAAATCATCCTGGTCTAAAAAGTGAGTTCACACTCAAGCAGGGCTTCCTTAGACCTTTTCTGTAAAAGACTGAATACATCATGGTGCAATATCAACCTGAAGACCTGCTGATATATCGAGAGGATCATATTCCTATAGTCATGCTTGGTCACTGAGTCATGATGATGTTGATGTTTTCAGGTCTTTGACAATTGTAATTTCCTGTGATTAAATTACTTATAGAAAGTCATTGTAAGTCAAAGTGTGATAATTATATATTTTGATGTGGGCTTAAATTCATGCTCCATTTCCAGAGTGAGGGGATTAAATGCATATGCAATCACACATACTTTATGCCATTCCAGAGATGAAATCCAGAACTTGTATACTGAACAAAAGCTACCAACTGAGTTATATTTCCAGCATATTTAGTCTTATAATGTCCCTGCACTTTGAAAGGTTTCTGTATATGTCACTGTTGTTTATGTGAATCTCTTCCAGTTTCTCCTCCTCTTCCTCTGCAGATGAGCAAACATGACCTGCCAGTTCTTTGTAATGAGTTATTTTGTAGATATCAGGAGTATACATGTGTTACAAAATACAAAAGGTAAAATCATCATCTGAGTCCTACAAATATGTAAAACTTCAATAATCTATATATTAACTATACAAGTTTATACTAATTTATATTTTGCACTTGAATGATGAATAATAAAATCCACAATGTAAATGGTTTTAGGAAAGATTGTCAGAAAAATGAATCTTGGGCTTATTGTTAAGGAATGAATGTTTTTGTGTGTGAAAGGGTATGAGGAATTTGTGTGTGTGTGTGTGTGTGTGTGTGTGGTGAGTACAGTGGAAGGCTATAGTTAAAGTATCATCTCAAAGCCTATGTTAAAATTTAAATGTCGTTACAACAATGGTAAGAAGTGAGATAGTCAATATGTGATAAGGTCATAAGGATTATGCCTTTATAATATAGGAGGATCATAAATGTTGCACAAAAATTTGTGCTTGAATATTTGGTCCACAACAGGTGCCTCTGTTTGGGGACATTATGGGATGGAATATTTAAAGGTGATGCCTGTGTGGTGTAAGGAATTTACTTAAAATTGACTATATATTTACCAGCCAAAAACTACTCTATCAAATCTGTAGTTCAAACTGACAGTGATTCCAGCCTTTGAACAACCATGTTTTAAAGCCAATTCTGCTACCAACTTTTGCTGCATTTGTTGTTTTTCTTCTAAGTGTGGTCAATTTCTTCTACAAAGCAGATTATTCTTATTTTAATGGCAGGTTAGATGTAGCACTTGGGTCTTTTGTCTAAATGTGGGAGGTTGTGGTTGTTCTTAAATATGACAGATGGTAGTAGAAGAAGAATTATAAAGAGGAGGAAGAGGACACACTGCCACAGAAGAGGAGAGAGACAGAGAGACAGAGAGATACAGAGATACAGAGACAGAGCGAGCCACATGCAGGGGAGCTGTGAACCATCAGCTTGCCTCAAACAACATACTTCTTTCTTGCAAACTTTACCTTTTTGATATCATGTGATTATAAGTTAGAGACAAAGTACTGAAATATGAACCTATGAAAAAGATTTCACATTCAAAATAATACTTTGTGAATGGATCAAAGTCATCATTGTAGTGGTGGCATAACTGAAAACATCTAGTTTCTTTTTTAGTTTACAATTTTAATTTTAGAAGATACAATTGCTGACCACTGTGCCTTGTTATAGTGCAGTAGTAAGGTCCTCATCAAATGCCAGTGCTGAGTTCCTGGAAATAACTGATTCTATAATCACAAATTTAAAAATACTATTCATACAGTTACTGAGTTTCCAGTATCCTGCTAGAGCTGAATATACCTTATGACTATCACAGCCTCTTGTAGCAGAGAGTCTTCAGGGCCAAAAGAGACACTATCAGATAGTGATAGCAAGAGATAGTTTCAGAGAACATCATGTCTTATGAATATAGCCAGGAGGACAAATGGAATCACTGGTCATTATTCACAGTGATCCGAGCCTACTCTGGTTAGAGTTGTGATTCCTGTGAAAAAACACCATGACCAAAAATAACCAGAGGAGGAATAAGTTTAGTTTGTTTGCATTTTCTCCTAACAGGTCATCATCCAGGGAAGTCAGGGCCAGAACATAGAGGCAGAAGCTGAAGTATAGGCCATAGATGGGTGCTACTTACTTGCTTGCTCCTCATATCAGTCCACCATTTTAAGTACCCAGTTCCACATGCCCAATGATGGCAGCACCTACAGTAGGCTGAACCCTTTCAGTCACTGTTTATCCCTATCAAATGCTAATTGAAAATTACCCTACTGTGATTTTTATAGATGAATTTTCTCAGATGTGGTGCCTTCCTGTCAAGCGACCCTAGTTTGAATCAAGTAGACATAAAACGTAACCAGCACAGATACCCAGTGGCCCCAACTACTCTTATGTCAGATTTCTGTCTCTTATTATTCCTGGCTCCAGAGCCTCTGCACACCTGATTCTCTTGCTTCTCATTCCCTCTCTTCTTTTTCTCCCATCTGTGGCTGTGAGGGGCCACGGAGTGCAAAGAGGACTCTGAATTAATTACATGTCAAGCCCCTCAAAGACCCAAGGTAAGTAATGAATAGAGACACACAGAGCACCAAGCAACACAGGTCTTCTCTCTTAAATCTAATCACATCCACACACGAAATTAAGAATATAAAGAAAGCACACCGCAATTTATGATTATACATGCAGACACACTCTAGGCATGCAACAGTAGAATAGCAAGCACATCTAGACTCAAACACAGAAACACACATCTGTACATTCATATGAGAAATGAACTTTGGTATGTAAAAGGCATATTGCGCACATACTCAGATCAACGCCTGAATAAATAAACAGATAGACCTGAGTTGACATTTGTACATAAAATGAGACGCATTGCACCCAATGCCCTTTGGTCCTATGTATCTGTTTCATGGTGTCCTTGCCAACATCTAGTATGGAGGTAAGGGAATAATGAGTGAGCAGATCACAGGCAGGCAGCCCAAGCAGGAAATATGGGTGCTCACACTACTGGAAAATCATGAGAGAGCAGGGAGAACAGATGAAGTTGCATAACTGAAAGGAGAGCAGGGTCCAACATAAAAGGTCCTGCTGAATTGTGCAGTGAAGTAGACAGTGTTCAGAAGAGGACCATGGAACCCAGTGTCCTGCTCCTCCTCGCTCTCCTCCTGGGCTTCTTAGTGCTCCTGGTCAGAGGCCACCCAAAGTCCCATGGCCACCTCCCACCAGGACCCCATCCTCTGCCCTTCTTAGGAAACCTCCTGCAGATGGACAGAGGAGGCTTCCTGAGCTCCTTCATGCAGGTGAGACTTACATGGGGACATAGTGTGGGCTTGCTCCTGCTTTTGTTCATGGAGATCACTCATCAGGATGAGCAAGGGACTCCTTCCAGGCCATAGGTTCAGTGTGGAAGTTCTCTGAGTATAAGGTGAGATGGTGATTGGTGATGTATTGTGTTCAGATTGACAGGCTTGTTCTCCCTATGCTGGAATCTTCTGGGTCACTGTGCTTGGAGTATGAAAGGTGTAGAATTGTTAAGGTGTACGAATGTAGAATTTCACTCCATGGGGCCTGTCTGCTCCAGAAAGGAAGGAAAACTGTCAGAGGCCTAAACAACAGGTTTTACTCCTGTCAACAAAAGAGACAGCAAAGATTAGCTTGAGGTATTCAAGAACAAAGGGGAGGAGAGACAGGCAGGGCAGGAGGAGGATCAAGTAGGAAGTACTTATCAGTTTCTTCCAGCGTCTCGCACTTATTTTCCAGTATGTTCATTGACATTTTACACTTGAGATTTAATGGTTCATTACACTCTTTTATTAATAATGAATCAGCTGAAGCAATCCCACTTTTGAAGATGGAGTTTTTGTCCTGAGAGGTCCCACAGACCTTTAGTCCCAAATAAATACGGAAAGGCTTACATTAAATATAAAGTATTTGTCCAATGGTTCCACCTTCTATTGGCAAGCTCTCTTAATTATTAACCCATTTCTATTAAAATGTGAATTGCCAAGAGACTTTGGCTTATCAGTAATCCTCCTGCATGTTATTCAATTTGGCAGCCACATGGAGTCTCTCAGGTGGCTCTTTGAGTTTCTCTTCCCTGTATTCTCTTACTGTGGTACCCCTGGCTGTACCTCCTGCCTGGCTATATCTTGCCTGCCCATTGGGCCTCAACAGCTTTATTCATTAACCAGTAAGAGAAGCATACATTCACAGCATACAGAAGGACCTCCCCAGTCACACTCAAGTGTCCCTCCCCATGACTGTGTTATCCTTCTTGGGTGTCATGTTTGTTACCCCCTGTCCTTTAAAAGATCACCCTCATCAATGGCAAATTTACTTATTTTAACTTATATTTGAGAGACTGTGTCTCTCCATGCTTTTTTGTTGTTGCTGCTGCTATCTTCCACCTCATGTTTCTTCTGCCATAGCATTTGAATGTAATAACAAGTGTGCATCACCATACTTTATATGAGTGTTTGAATCATATGTTTCTCACATATTAGGAACCTCAAGCCAATATCCTATTTAACTTTAAGTAATCCTTTGACAATTCCACATATGCATATCCTGGATCTCCATCATTTGTGATCCCCATTTTCCTGTCTCCTCTGTCTTTCTGTCACATAAACCCTACTTTGTGCCAAGAACCCTTCCTACATTGATATTCTTTTGTTTTTATTCACTAAGTTTAATAAGGGTCATTCAAAGTGGCCTTATGCTTGGTTTCCTACTTAGAGATGCTCATGGCCGGGCGGTGGTGGCACACGCCTTTAATCCCAGCACTCGGGAGGCAGAGGCAGGCAGATCTCTGTGAGTTCGAGGCCGGGCTGGACCGATAACCTACAAAACAATACAGAGAAACCCTGTCTTGTAAAAAAAAGAGATGCTCATGGTCCAGTAAATAGGGCAAATGCATGTTTATGTGAGGGTCAATATCTTACCTTTTTCTTACCAACATTCCCACCTAAATGCTCTCTATGAAGCCTACATTAACCTATTCTGTGTATATGTCACAAAGACCCAATGCCTCTCAGTAGAAGTGAGTGTGGGCTTTAATCATGTATGCTACTGAGGTTGATGTATTATTTTGAATGAAATCCAGGGATTGAAAAACAAACCCAGGCTGTGACATCCACTAACTGCCAATATTTAAATTAAAAATATTCAATTGGTTATCTGAGTCTTTAATTTTTTTTGAAGTTCAAGGACAAATGCTTTTTAGTGATGGAGAGGGAAACAACAAGGAAGATCAGTTGTGAATCTTGACTGCTGCCAGAGGAGGAACAGGAATAGAAAGAGAGCAATCCATGCTGTGTTGTAGGCTACCACATGGTGGAAAGAGGGTGAGGGGTATAACATCAGAGAGAGAGAGAGAAAAGAACACAGACCACCAAGGAATGCAAACACAGCCTTTGGTAGAGATCCAAAAGATATTTTTAAAAAGGCAGAATGAAGAGTGTAGTTATCTTTCTTCTTTGGGGCTCATTGTCTATGACTTCATGATGGGGGAGGAAACAGAAGAGAGGGCAGTGTTGGATGGTTTGTGCATCTAACGAAACAGCTCTCCAGGGAGACACTCTAAGTATTATAACTCCACTTCATTCCAGAGAGGAGTACATAAATTCTGGGGACAGTGGCTGGGGCATCACCTAAATTGCATTAAACAACAGTATCCTATCTTAAAGCTCCTACTACAAGTCATAGCACAGATATGTGGAAGCATTGCCCTATCCTAAAACTCATAGCACAATATCTAATTACCACATCAGAAGCAAGTGGAGTTCTCTAGCAGGGAAATATGCCAAGGATCAAACTGGAGATAAATCCAGATTCCAGTCTTAGAGAACTTCTGTAAATAATGGCAAATATAGAGTAAAGTCTCATTGAGGTGAGGGTCTTCCATGTTTTCATGACTGGAGAGAGCTGCCAGGCCATGGTAGACCACAAACTCTGACCATCAAGATCTCCCAACAGAAGAGGGATGGTTTTTCTGAGTAATGACTAGAAAAGCTGTTGATGGGAGTTCTGCGAGTGCCTACACTAAGGTTAAGGGAGGAGTAGAACACTAGTCCAATAAGGGAAAGGTCTTTTCTACTTACTGAAATAAGGGAAAGATTATGCCTTCCATGATGAGAGATGTTCTGTGTATATATGTCAATAAAGCACTGTTGGACTAGGAGTCTATGAGGATTCTGGGAAATGTAGTGAACTGAGTGATAGCCATGTGATTCCCGGGAAGAGAGGATACAAGTCTGCATTCTTGGTAATATAAGACCTTATAAAATATATATTAGTAATTATGGGTCAATAATTAAGTCAAAGCTAGCCAATGAGAAACAATAACAAATTGCCAACAGATTAATAATTAATATAGTGCCTTGTGTGTTATTTGGGGGCTAATGGGGTAATGGGAGCCTGACGGGAATTCCACAACAATATGGCTCCAACAACGTGGGTATTAAGAACTTCCACTGAAACCTTTAAAAAAAGCTTTAAAAGGGGATTTTACAATCAAAAGAACAGAGGCAAACAGAGCTTTTTGGTAGCAGCATTTTTCTCAGGTGATCTCTGTTTTTGCTAGAGACAAGCAGAAACACATGTGGCTCCTTTAAGGGAGGTTTCTTGACTCAACATAAGTGGAAAAACTGCATGGCTCTTTTAAGAGGCCCTACTAACAACAGAAAAACATAAAGATTTACAGTACAGTCAGATTCAGATGAAGAAAAACCTCTAAAAGTTTACAGTGTGTTTAAAAATATATCTAGGCTTGAGAGAGAAAAAGAAACAGGATAGTGGTAAAAGAAATAGAGAAGCTGGACTGTAGGCACACATGTCTTTAATCCCAGCTCTCGGGAGGCAGAGAGCCGGTTGTGGTGGCACACACCGGTAGGATTTGCTGAAAGAGGCAGACAGATTTCCACCTAGAAATCCTGTCTCAGAGAAAACATCAATAAATAAAAGTAAAATAAATAGAATAACAATAATAGATAAATAAAGAAAAAGCCGTGTAAAGATGGAAAACACACAAAGAGTCTGGATACTGTATGCTATTGTATTTTTAAGTTTTTCAATTGCTAAAGAAGCAACAAATGCTAAATCACACTTGATTATAAATGCTGCTAAATTGATCCAACTTATATATTTTGAAAATGCTTTGACTTCTAAATTTAAATATAGGGATAGGTTGGGAAAAGTTTTTGTTTCTATTTCCACAGAAAATGAAAAGCTGTGGATTCCTTTCAGGCTTCTATGGTTTGATGAACCAAGACCCCGGGAACAGTGGCCCAAGTTATCCAACATCTAAAACTAAAACAGCTAAAATGATACAGCCTTATGGACCACAAAAAAACAAGGATTTGGCCAGGTTTCTGAGTTTTTGTCATGATCCCCATGGTATGGACAGTGTCCCCTATCAGCAGGAAGCAGTTTGAAATAAACAAATCCCAATTTCCCAAATATTGTTTATAATTTTTTTCACTTAAATAAGGTTGCTTATAATTGGTTAATGATCACAATCTCTTTTTAAAGGTGAAGGGGATTATGGTGTGGAAATGAATACTTTGTATTGGTATGGCTTATCATTTATTGATAAAAATTTAAGATCAATTTTGTGATATGTATACTTCTCTTGTTTAAGTATTGTGTTTATACTGATCTTTTAAAATGTAATATATAATTAAATACATATTATAGATAGTTACTTTGATAGGTGAGTTAGGTTTTCTAGATATACAGAGATACATTTGAGATAGATAATTTTCAAACCTTTCAAAGACCTTCAGAAAATGGCATTTAAAATGGTTTTCAGTTTACAATGAGAAATGTCTGGTCCTCACACTCCAATTACAACAGAGAGGAAGATGGGCATCAAGGAAGCTCATTATGGAGTTTGCTTTCAACATGGCAAGATTAGCCATTTGGGCAAGAAACTCCCCTTGCCTGGACTGTTTGACTGTTGCTGTATAAACTACACATGCAGGACCCACAGGAAAGTGGCTGCTAAATTTAGACAGTCCTTCAGGGCTCCTGCTTCATGAAAGAGTCTGCCAGAAAAATGAGTGACAGACTGCCAATGCAGATGGACAGTTTGAAATTTCCTGCTTTGCTGAGAAGTCTTTCAGATACACTGTGGCTATGGGCTGAACATGGATGCCCCAATGTTACAGAGGAACTTCGGGTGACTGTCCAGGTAGCAAGATGTCTCTGTCAATTCTAGTTTTTCTATATTATTCTTCTGTAGTCGTTGATGGAGTTGAAGACAGAAGATAGTTTTCCTTAGTTAGGATTAAATACAAGTTACATATAAGTCTTTAGACTCACAAAGATAGGACAAATGATATTTTCTTTAAATCTTACTAAATGTTAATGGACAAAATATTAGAACTATAGTTCTTGCTTGATATCTGTTCTGTTATATATAACTTGACTATGTTAAAGTTAAAACTTTTCTTTTTATTTAGACAGAAAAGAGGAGATGATGGGGGAAGTTCTGTGTATATGTCAATAAAACACTGTAGGCCAATAGGGAAGCAAGATAGGTAGAACTAGGAGTCTAGGAGGATTCCAGAAAATGTAATGAACTGAGTGGTCATCATGTTATTCCCAGGAAGAGGGGACACAAGTCTGCCTTCTTGGTAAGATAAGACCTTATAAAAATATATATTAGTAATTATGTGTCAATAATTAAGCCAATGAGAAACAATAACAAATGCCAACAGCTTCATAATTAATATAGCCTCCTGTGTTCTCATTTGGAACTGATGCAGCTCTGGAACTAGGCTGGTGGGAAGATTATACATTGCATTTCCATCTGCTTATCATGGTTTAAGTAAATCAGCCTTCCCCTGGGATTGTCTCACTCTTAGTGAGACACTTCCTCTAACAAGGTAAAACCTCCTAAACTATCTAATATTTTCAAATAGTACCACTCCCTGTTGATCAATTATTCTAATGTATGAACCTGTGGGTTCAATCTTATTTAAAAAAAAAAAAAGAAACACACTTCGACCCATCCTTCACTCTTGGAAGTATTATACTCTTCCAGATAAGAAAACCAGGATTTAATGGTGGTTGCTTTCCAGTGTTATACCCTCTGTACTTCCTAGTAGAGCCCTTTTCTTTAGCATGGAAATGGAGCATAATTTGCAAGAATCTTTACAAGTAAATATTAACAGAAATATATTCTCAGAAGCCTAAACTGCAGCAAATCTAAACTACAATTATGTTAAAGGCACAACTGTTTTCCTATAGTTTCTAACATGTCTGGTCACTTTACTATTTATCACTGAGCATATTATAGGCAGTACTGCTTTAACTAAACCCTACTTTGTACAACTTAACATTTAGCTGCACATTTAATGCTGAATCCGTTGTAATGTCAATTCATCCCTCTCAGATTTCCTATATCATATCTATATCTTGTTTATCTTTTGAGGCAAGGTTTCCTGTAGCCCCAGGCTGGCTTCCAGATCAACCGCAGCCAGGGGTGATTTTGAACTCATTTACTCCCCGAGTCTTGGGCTTATAGCATGAGCCCCAAACTCAGAACCATACCATAATGTAGTATTGATAAAAATGTGCAACTTCTATGCAGACCTCCATGGTGGTGGGTTAACCCTAAAACTTCTAGCTCCTCAGAATGAAAATGATAGCCAGGGGAGAGGTTCCTATGTAACCAATATGTGTCTAAGTGTTTTAACAGTGTACCAACTGCCCTGACTACCTCAACAATGTTGCCCCTATGCTTTGCAGTTTCGAGAAAAATATGGAGATGTGTTCACAGTGCACATGGGACCAAGACCTGTGATCATGTTGTATGGGACAGAGGCCATAAGGGAAGCTCTGGTGGACCAAGCTGAGGCTTTCTCTGGCCGGACAACACATGCCGTGGCTAAACCTATTTTCAAGGACTATGGTGGGTGGCTCAAAATTAGAGAATCAACACAGCAAGAGGAGATGTGGTAGAAGAGTGGACAAGGGCTAGGGAAGGACCCAGGTTTCTTTGAACTTCTCTCTAACTCATCCATGCTTCCCTTACATTCTTAGGTGTGATCTTTGCCAATGGGGAACGATGGAAGGTGCTTAGACGATTCTCTGCAGTTACCATGAGAGACTTTGGGATGGGAAAGTGGAGTGTGGAGAAGCGGATTCAGGAGGAAGCCCAATGTATGCTAGATGAGCTACGGAATTCCCAGGGTGAGTTCTAGAGAAAGAGCATTAAGAAATATATCAGTGACTTTAGTGCACATCCAAAGAAAGACAAGAGGCACAAATGCGCAGAAAAAGATACATACACACACACGACACAGAGACACATACACACAGAAACAGACACACACTCACACACATACACATACACTGTGGAAAGGATGAGATAGGGGAGAGAAATACAGAAAGATAGGGGAAGAAATGTGACATTCAGAGCATGGAAGAATAACTCAGATATAGACTGAGTCATTCCTATGATAGGCCACTTATGTTCAGGGAAATTCATGCCTGGGTAAATAATATGTGTCAGTCTGGCATGATGGCACAAATCTGTCCTCCCAAATCTCAGGGGGCTGAGAGAGGAGGGCACATTAAATGCCAGTTTGACAGCATCATGAAATCTTGTTTAAAAGAGAAAAAGAGATTGATGCTGTAGGTGGAGTTCACATGTGCTGGGATTGCCCAGAACAGACACACTCCATTTCCTTTCTGTTCTTTAGTACCATAACATTGTCATGGTGCCACAAGATACTTATGTTAGTATACCTATGATGAGGCAGAAGCTTAGAGACTAGGGATCATCCTTGACTTCATATGGAGTTCAAGGCCATGCTGAAGTGGCCCAATGGGGTGTTTTATTTTGTGGCAGTTATAGGAATTTCTGGGTAGTTATTGACACTTCATAACACTGGTGAAAAAGTCTGCTTTAGAATTCATTTCTTCAGGCTCGTGTTTGTCCTCTCCTAAGATTTCTCAGGTGACTTGGAGACATAGAGGCTAAAGGAAGTAGAAGAAAATCAAAAGAATAAGAAGAAAGTAGGAGAAAGCAGGGTGACAGAGATTAAGAAGCTGGTATGGAGCTTGAGGGATCAAACAGAAGAGAAAAATCAGAAGAGCAGTAATGAGGGGAATAGAGAAGGGTAGAAAGTAAATAGTGTGTTTGAAAAGAGAAAGAAGCTGAAACTCATCAGCAAAATATCTGCAGAGGAAACTGGAACAAGAGATAGATGAGACCCAGAGAGAGTGGTAACAACGGCCCAATATTGCTGGGCTGACAGCATCCATCCCATTATGGAAGCCCATGAGGAAACATGGAATTTAAGGGAGGTAGATGCCAGGTGCTGATGATCCTTGGAACACAACAGAGCCTAGAATCCTAGAAGAAATAGAGGAAGATTCACAGATGAGAGACTATTAAATCCAGAACAGGAACTCCCGAACCATTCTGTTTGCCATTCCTGCAAGTGGAAGTTACCCAATGGATCAGAGTCAGAATGTTGGCCTAGGAGGAGGTGCAGGGGGGATATTAACTTGCACATGCTCCCCTTCTTGCCTCCATGGGTCTGAGTACTGATCCCAGTCATAAACATCTGTGTTAAACTAGAGAAATTAGCAACTGTCTGTGTATATACTAATAACCTTGCATCTTCTGTATTATATTGAAAGGAAACTAAATAAAATGGTGTGTGCAAATTTAAGTGCAGGATATGGTGCCTCACATGTGAAAATATGGTAGCAAATGTTGCTATTCATTGAGTAGTGTGTGGTTGGGACAGCTTTATTGAGATGGTGCCAAGGTCACATCTTCCTCTTCATGCCATGTTTTGATGTCATGTCTCCTGTCATGCCTCTTCATCCTCTAGGAGCCCCTTTGGACCCCACCTTCCTCTTCCAGTGCATCACAGCCAATATCATATGCTCCATTGTTTTTGGAGAACGTTTTGACTACAATAACCGCCAGTTCCTTCACCTGCTAAACTTGTTCTATCAGACTTTCTCACTCTCTAGCTCATTATCCGGTCAGGTTAGTATTTGGGTAGAGAGGAACAGCCAAGGCAGAGGGAATAATATTATGTTCTGTGGGTTAAGAAGGGCTGGAAGGAAGACATAGATAACATGGAGAGGCAAGAAGATTGTGAGCAGGAGGAAGAGAGTTATGGGAAGCAGGGTAGAGACAAGGAGCCTGAGGCCTGCAGGGAGGAAAAGAGGGTTGTTACCAAGGTGGAGAAACCTAAATACAAAAATACAGTGCCATGCAGACATGAGAAAATGATGACATGTTGATTGTGGCTGTTGATAAATGAGTAGAGGACTTGTCTATCATGTTTGAATCATTAGGTCTATTCCTAGAACAAAATCAGTAAGATTGTGTTTAGTACACATATGTAATCCTAATACATGCAAGATCAGAGTTCAAGGCCATTTTTGGATAAATACTGAATTTGAAGACAGTCTGAAAGACAAGAGACCCAGAATGAAAAGAAAACAACAAAATGATGGCTTAGGAAATAGAGACAGATTACAACAAAAGTGCTGGAGAAAGATTCAGAGAGACAGACTGATAGCATTATGCATGTATGTGTACATGAGAGGCAAAATGAAGGAACAGAAGATGATCATGAGTAGGGCAGAGGATAGAATAAGATCCTGAGGACATATGGGATCATAGGAAAATATTTTGGTTCTTGAGACCTATAGCTACAGGTGACCTCCTGGATCCTTCTTTCATGCAGTTGTATGAGCTCTTCTCTGTCTTCCTGAAGTACTTTCCTGGTGTCCATGTACAAGTGTGCAAAAACATGCAGGAAATCCTTGACTTTATTGAACAAAGTGTAGAGAAGCACAAGGTGAGCTTGGATCCCAACAATCCAAGAGATTTCATCGATGCCTACCTTCTACGCATGGAGAAGGTATGTCCTGCATTAATGAGACAGGGGATGGGTGACAGTGAAGGCTGAGGATGTGAGACGAGGAAATGTGTTGGGGACACAGAGGATGGGTTGAAGAGACAGGAAATTGAGTGGAAGAGATGCACAAGAATCTACAAAATTAAGAATAGAGAAAGGGAAGAGAAAATGAAATAGGGAGAAATAAGGCTGTAGAAGAAACACAGTGCAAGGGACAATAAAACAGAAAAGGTCTCAGAGAAAGAGACAGTTTGCTAGACAAAATATTATAAACTAGCAAGGATCAAAGTATAGAGAGAAGACAGAACACACAGACACCAAGAGACATTTTCGAGATCTGAGCAATGTCATGTGGTTCCTATAATGTGAGGCAGAAGGAGAGATCCCAGCATGTGTCTATCTCCCTGTAAGGCTTCAGTCATCCCTGACCCTCCCTTCTCTCTCCCATCTGGAACCAGGAAAAGTCCAACCCAGACACAGAATTCCATCACCAGAACCTCATGATCACCGTGCTATCTCTCTTCTTTGCTGGCACTGAAACAAGCAGCACCACGCTCCGCTATGGCTTCCTGATCATGCTCAAATACCCTCATGTTGCAGGTGTGTTACAGGCAACCAGTGAGAGAGATTCTAGCTTCCTTTTGGCTTTGAAGTTTCATGTGATTGAGAGAGACATGTGCCTCTTACATCTGAAACTCTGACGGCTTTGGTCAACTTCTAAACTAAGCAGTGCTGTTGGTTATGTATGAATCAACACCTAGATGAACCATTTTTACTATTAAAGCGAGATACATCCATCATCCAGCATTATTTTTTCTTTATTTACTTCCTTCCTTCATTCTTTTCTTCCATCTTTGCTTACTATTCAATCATCTTTCTATCCATGTACCTCTTATTCATTCATCTATTTATTCTGTTTGTGGATTTATATGTCCACCCACCAAGCCACTTGTCTTCTACTCTTGCTTAATTCATTTTTTCATCCATCTAAGAATCTACCTGTCCAAATATCTAGTTACTCAATCATCCTTCTGTCTACACACATATGAAAACTTATTCATATACACACACCCCACATACCCACAATATCCACCCATTCAACCATATTTCAATCCACTGCCAAATTGCTTATTTAATCACCCTACAAGTCATTTCACTGATTTCTTTCCATTAACCCACTTAGTCTTTCCTTTGATCAGTAGAATTAAATAAATTATTTCTCATTGATTCATCCATGTATTTATCTGTCCTTCTATTAACAGGTTTCATTTATTCCCTTCAATAACTGGACTTTGAGTTCATTTTTCCTTTGTCTATCCATTTCTAAATTAGAATCATCTGTTGACTTACAAGTTGAATAAATAGTCAAGTGTTTAGTCTGTTCATTTTATTGTTCTGTCCATTTATTCATTGATTTATTCATTGATTTCATTATGTATTCCTTTCTCAGACATCTATTAACATACTCATTAGCTAATCTACCTACTTCTTAGTTATATTTCTCAGGATAGATCCTTGAGTTCTTAATATAAAAGTCCATGTAAAGTTGTGGAATATGCACGAGCGGGAGTGTGTGTGTGTGTGTGTGTGTGTGTGTGTGTGTTTAGGTGTGTTTCAGTGTATGTGCTCATGTATATGTGTGTATAAAATTCTTTTCCTTGCAAAGGAAATCTCACATCAATATGATTGCTTTGAAGTCTCCTTTGCTGTATGTTTTTCTGTTTTGTTAATACCCTGCTGAAACGTAGTTGAACAATACAAAGAAGAGATTTAATATAGTTTTAAACATGGGCACAGAGGGACAATTGCTTAAGTGCAGGGCAGTTTTGTACCATCAAGTATAGAGTTTTTCTCTGTTTTCTCTGCTGCACTGATTCCTGGGTTGTTGCTCATAGAATAAACTCTGTCCAGGATGATGTGACAGACTTTGGAGATCCACCATTGAGGGCCTCACCCTCCCTGTGGAGCAAAGTGGGGACAGGGTGGGGAGTGGAGAGGGTTGTTGGGTGACTGGGCAGGAGTAGGGTGAGAGGGAGCTGGGATTGACATGTGAAGCATGTTTTTTCTAATTCAAATTTAAAAATATCGTTGCTACAAATCTGGCAAAGTGGATCCACTGTTCCCCTTTTGTGTGCAGAGAAAGTCCAAAAGGAAATTGATCAGGTGATTGGCTCACACCGCCTCCCAACCCTTGAAGACCGCCCCAAAATGCCTTACACTGAGGCTGTCATCCATGAGATTCAGAGATTTTCAGACATTATCCCAATTGGTGTGCCACGCAAAGTAACCAAAGACACTTGGTTCCGAGGGTACCTGCTCCCCAAGGTGAGACCAGCTGCCATTCCACATTTCTATAACATGAGCCTCCTGCATTCTCCTTGATACTAGTACCAGCCTGTTGTTGTTCCCCAGAATTTCTGGTGTCTTATTGGTTGTTTGACTTTCTGCACATGTGAGTTAGGGAATGTTGACATCTTAGTATCTCATAATGTCTCCTAGAACATTGAAGTGTACCCCATCCTGAGTTCAGCTCTGCATGACCCACAGTACTTTGAACAACCAGATACCTTCAATCCTGACCACTTCCTGGATGCCAATGGGGCCCTGAAGAAAAATGAAGCTTTTATGCCCTTCTCTATAGGTGAGACCCCCCTGTGCTTTCTTTCCCAGACACTAGAATGCATGCTCTTCCAGCAGGATACAGACAAGACTAGGATCATATTTACTGAGTCTTTTCCAACTGCTATGTCCATACCATTCTATTTAATGAGCCTACATTCCAACAAGGGGACCCTTGAACTGAAGGGGTGTCCTTTTGTGAGGTCTTTTAGAATTATTTAAAGGTCTCAAAACCCGAGCACATTCAGTTTCTTAAGAACCAATGGCAAGATCAACTGACAACATCTATGATCATGGCTATAAACTGGGTAAAGTCTTGATGGCTGGGGGACATTGACTTTAGCTGTGAGAACTGGGGTGTTGGGGCATGTATTGACACAATTGCCCCTGTTGCATACTCTTGTTAAATTCTAAGATACGGGGAAGGGGAGTGCGGAGGAGGGGAGGGAGAGGGAACTGGGATTGACATGTAAAACAAGCTATTTAAAATTAAAATAAAAAATGATTTAAAAAATTCTAAGATACATCAAAACCACCAGCACTTGCTTGAACCAAGATTTCATTCATGATGGACAATATCCTGAACCTAAGAAAGCTATGAATTACAGAACCCATTAATGACAGCATGGGGTTACTATTTATAAGAGGGATATGGTCATGGACACATAGTTTGATTGGAGCCAGCTCTGCTTTTGCTTTGCAAGGCCATGCTGGAGTAGTTGGCAGCCTGCGAAAAGTAAGCTACTCTTAGTGACTGAGATTTGTTCTGCATTGGGAAAGTATAATCTCAAGTTAGTGTGTAATTTGGTTGCCTGTTGTGTTTTAGTATTTTGTTACATGCAAATGTTGCCTCCAGTCTAGTTTAATTCAGTTTAACGTACTCTATGGGATATAAACATGGAAACTGTGTTCAGGGTTTTTATTTTTGGAGAAAGAGATATTCTTGAAGCAAATAAGCTTGTGTTGCCACCCTGCAGCCATGTCCTCATGATAGAGTTGGATCCCAGGACTGAGTATGTGTTACTTATGTTCTCTTTGAAAGAGCATGCAAATCCAGCCTGTCCTTTCTGTATTCTAGAAGATGATCTCCCACTGAACCTCATTGCTCTCTCCCATCCATAAATTGAGGGTTATTGAGCAAGTGTTGTCCTGCTGAGCAAGATCTCAACTAAGAATTCTCTAATCTTAAGTTTCCATGTGACTTCAGTGACTCCTGACTCTGCCCAGCACAATGACCACTTTCATGTTTCATCTTCAGAGTTGTAGACATGTAGGGCATGAGATATATGATTTGTAAGTACAGTAGTCCAAGTTTAGAAAGGCACACATGTGGAGAAAAAATCATGAAGGAATACATGACTAGATATAGCTAGATGTAGCTAGACAGAGAAGGAGATGGGACTAGAATGTTAGCTAGGAAGTTAACAAAAAGCAAGAAGAAAATAACTGATAAAAAGACACAGTGATGATAGATACAAACACATGTTTAGGTAAATTGTAAGCAAGCAAGAAAAGTGAGCAAACAAGCAATCCAAAAGGATATTATAGCCAACTAGTCTTGATGGATTTTATGTCTCCAATTCCAGGCATGGGGACATAATATTGAGAGTGACATAAGCCATTAAAAACTTCTCTGGAAAAATCCAGGTCACAAAACTAGTTCTAGAGGAACCATCTCAGAGAGATTCTCCATTAATTCTTAACACCTAAGTTCTGGAAATGAAGGCCAAGGAGTTAGTGTTGTTTCCATATACATCCTTACAGAGGCACAGTTTCCCAACAACTGTAGGGAAGAGGGATTGTTGGGAAATCTGTCCTCCACTTGTTGGTAGCTGCAGATTAGGAATCACTGAGGTACAAGGCATGTAGTCGATTGAGCCTTTGATTGTATTCTCTCATGGCTCTATGGAGCTTGATGTCCAAGTTGACAATCCAATAAGGGTTCCTTACACCCCTAAGAATCCAGTGAGTGCCACAGATACCTTATCATGTGCCCTGGCCCATTCCATTGTCAATTGTATATACAATTGTGATTTGAGACAGTACAGAAGAACTGGGGGAAAGTGTGGAGAGACAGAAGAGACTCTCACACAGAGGGCATTCTATGTACTGCAAGCTCTTCTGAACCCGGGACTTTCTTGCCTAAGTCTCCCAGTGACTGTATGTATAGACATGTGACTCCATGTCTATCTCATATAAGACCCAGAACACCATCCAGTTGTTAATCTAGAACTCTTTCTAAACAGTGCCTTCACCCTGTTAGCAGTCAATGTCAGGTACCAATCCCATTACTTGAAAAATAAGGGACACCAAAGATGTTGCATTGTATTGGTGTATAAATACACAATTGGTTCTTACTCTAAGTCTGTTAATTCAGATCTGGAACAAAAGACTCTGGTAATCTAACAAAATGCACAAATATGTCAAAAGTTCCCATGAGACATTCACTAACAAACTGTTACACATGTAATGATTTATTTATTGAGTATGTGGGTGTATGCATAGACGTGTTTGCTGTGGTGTGTGTGTGTGTGTGTTTATATCAGAGGACAGCTTGTGGGAGTTGTTTTTCTCCTGTGACATGTGGGACCAGGGATTGAACTCATGTCCTCAGTATTTATGTCAGGGGACTTTGCATACTAAGATCTCTCCCTGGCCCTTGGACCAATTCTTTAATGTTTGTGAAATTTCTCACTGTTCTTCATTTGAATTGCAGGTGAGGGTCAAACTCATCCTTATTCACTGCAATGGATAGAGTTGTCTTGATTTAGGGGTAATACACTCAAATGGATCTTCATTCTCTGGGGCTCATGTGACTTTTTCTCTGTGCCCACAGGAAAGCGCATTTGTCTTGGAGAAGGTATTGCCCGCAATGAATTGTTCCTTTTCTTCACCACCATCCTACAGAACTTCTCTGTGTCCAGTCCCATGGCTCCTAAGGACATTGACCTCAGTCCTAAGGAGAGTGGCTTTGGCAGACTGCCCCCAGAATACAAGATCTGCTTCTTGGCCAGATAACTAGGCTGAGTTGCTGTCCCCAATCCTGGTGATAATGGATGCTTCTTTCTACCCCTGAGAGATCTGCTGGAAACCAGGCCCTATATCACTGCTCACATCCTTCTCCAAAAATCCCGAGGTGTGTCCTACTGCCCTTGAATGCCACTGGCAAAATCAATCAAGGGTCTTTCTTGGTTTGTGAATAGAGAGACTTCTGGAAGCCACTTCTCATGCTGAGTCACTTCCCTATTCCTCACAAGGCCAAAGTCCCAGTAAAGAAGCTCCCAGTGCTCTATGTTCTAATCAACTGGATCTGAATTCTGCCTGTATAGAATTGCATAATATGCATGGTTCACATAAGGAAATTCTCATAGCATGTGATCTTTTGTGTCTGTGTCCTTTATTTCACACAACATTATCAAGGTTTCTGTGTTTTGCAGACCACAGTCAAATACCTTCAAATGTTTTTACCATGATATTTTTCAATAAAATGCACAATTACTCTCTTTTGTGTGTTCTCTCAGAAGTTGTGGTCAGTAAATCTCTCACAGAATGTCCATCAACTTGAGTTGTAGGTGATGGCAGACACAGTCAAGTTAACACTGAAGAACATTTGTCACCATGCTCAGTCTCCTGATCTCACAGCTATTCTTACCTGTAATTTCTTGTTCACCAGGCACCTTCAGTGCCTTCCAGAAAGTCTTCTTGCTGCAAACTACATCACATCCATGTCAGGTTTGTGAAGGGACAACCTGATTGCTGGTTCCTTGCTCAACTGTGAGAACCTGGAACATCAGGTGGCTGATGCCAGATGTTTAATACAGTGGAGGAGTAACCAATAAGTAAATAAATAACTCAATGAAATGACTCAACTCATTGCTTCCTAAACATTCCCACTGTGCCCCCTGACCTTCTCTCTTATCCTTGTCCCTAGAGTTTCCAGGGTGACCCCAGTTCTGTGGGTCCTGTGCTCTTACTGTCTTTCCACCTTCTGACAGAAGTGTGTGGAAGCCACCCTTTGAGCATTATACCATGAAACTCAGTTTCTACACACCACACTGCTGGGACAAGCAGGTGCACATTGTAAGTGTCATTTATTTAACACCATCATCGAGGAAGATGTCTCTTAGATGCCATTGGCCAATCAGCAGGCAGTTCTCAACTCACCTCTGAGATACTAAATTTCCAACTGTCTCACTAACCTCTCTATATCCTAGAAAGTTAACAGGAGCTTCGTTGAAGCGTGTTTCTGACACTCCCTCCTACACCAACCACAGAAATAGCTCAGCTTGCCATTCAAGAAAAACAGTGAAATGTGCAGCATGATAAGGGAGGAACATGGAGCACTGGCTTCTCATCAGTTTTTCTAGTCTGGAACTAGGATGACTCCAGCTCAAGGGCTGTCTCTCTCCAGTACAATAACATCTGCATTTATTGAATATCATGTTTCAAGCAGAACCATGTGCTTACTCAAATGCTTTCAAGGTCTAAGGTGTGGAGGAATTCAGGGTGAAGGGGTAGAAAGTGGAAGGAAGTGCTACTCACATGCGACAAAGAGTTTCCAATCCATGGCTTCATAGTTTGAGACTTCTCTCGTGGCTGTCATGATGTGGTACTAGAGAAATTTCTAGAATTCTGATGAGAACATACAGTTGAATGGTAGATAGGGCAATTGGTTCTGGTAGAAATACTGTGGTCTCTATAATGGAGACCAGCATTTTGTGTGTGGAGTCTATGAAACTCACAATGTCCATTGATGGGAAGGTTGTCAGAAGAGTTTGGACCAGTGTCCTTGAGGAAGGGTACTTGAAATACATTTGTGTGAAATCACAGACCTGAAATTTACATATTTCCCTGATGATAAACACCAAAGAGTGTGATCCAGTGATAGGAAGAACACATTACTACAGCCAGCCTGTGATATCTGGGCCCTACCTGGTAGCCAGAGGGAATTATGGAGATATTGCCACAGCCTACATGGGGTCTCAGCTTAATTTTGTTCTAGGTGGTCATGAGACAATACGGAAGGCTCTTATGATTTATCTATCCAAGGGATCATGGTTATAATTGATCCATCTTTCAGAAAGTCATGGAGAATATGCCTAAGGGTAGTGGGAGGGAATATCCCGCCCAACCCTATTCTTAGATATGATTTTTTAATATTTTATTTTTTGGTAAACGAAATATTTAGAACTTTCTCAAGTGGACCTTTTGGACCACTTTGAAGGAAATGGAGCATAGAATATCAAATCAAAGTGGAAGCTCCAGGTCTGGTATTGGAGGTTTGGAAGCCTATGATGAAGCCAGGGAGCTGTGCAAGAGGTCAACATGATGGAGGCAAGATGTGGGGAATGTGGTTGTCAAAGATTCAGAAAGAGTAATGTATAGGCATGTTCAATAATGTGTGTGTGTGTGTGTGTGTGTGTGTGTGTGTGTGTCTTTGTGTGGTAGGGATGTCAGGCTAAAGAACCAAGGATATATTTTCATTTAGGAATCTCACAGAAAATAGACAATGAAGTCACAAAGTGTATTGATGGGAAGAACAGATTAATGTGTGATTAATAGGGACATGGTAGTCTAAAATGAGACTAACCCCATTGGCTCATATATTTGAACATGTGGGCCCCATTGGGTGGAAATGTTTGGGACAGCTTAAGAGGTCTGTCCTTGTTGGAGGTGGCAAGTCATCAGGGATGGCCTTTGAGGTTTCCAAAGCCCTTGCCTTTCCCAAATAGTGCTGACTGCCTCCTGATATGGATGAGATGTAAGCTCTCGGTTACTTCCTCACTGACAGAGACATTTTGCTGCCTGGAGAGTGACCCAAAACTCCTATGCAATTTTGGGGCATCCATCTTCAGCCTATAGGGCCAGAATGTCTGACAAAATTTTTGAAGGACCATCCTGTCCTATGGCAAGTTTGGCAGTCACTTTCGTTTATAACCTGCTTGTCCAGTTTGGACAGTTGATATGTTTTCTATTTTAAAAAATTTCAAAATATTTTTATTTTAACTAGAAATAATCTTATTTTACATATCATCCCAAGTTCCCTCTCCCTCCCATTCTCCCATGCCCCCCACCAACCACCTGTCCCACCCCCTAATCCACTCCCCAGGAAGAATGAGGCCTTTCATGGGGAGATCATCAAAGTCTGTCACAGCATTTTTGGACAGCGCATAGGCCCTCCCCATATATTTAGGCTGAGACAGTACCCCCACCAAGATAGAATGGGCTCCTAAAGTCCATTCATGAACAAGGGATAAATGCTGGTTCCACCACAAAGGGCCCCAGAGATGGCTCATGCCTTCTAAATGTCACCCACATTCAGAAGGCCTAGTTCAGTTCTATGCTGGTTCTTCAGCTGGGTTCCATGAACTCTTACTTGCGCAGGTCAGCTGTTTCTCTGTGTTTCCCCAGCATGGTCTTGACCCTTTTGCTCATCATTCTTCCTCTCTACAATTGGATTTCAGGAGTTTGGCTCAGTACTTAGCTGTGCAACTTTGGTTCTTCTTCTATCAGGTACTGGATGAAGTCTCTAGGATGGCATTTAAGGTAGTCATCAATCTCAGTATAGGGGAGGAACATTTAATGTAGTCTCTGAACTATTGCTTAGATTGTTCTTTGGAGTCATCCCTGTAGATCTCTGGGCATTTCCCTACTGCCAGATTTCTCTTTCAACCTATACTGGCTCCCTCTATTAAGGAATATCTTTTCTTGCTCACCTCTATTTATCCCCTGGTGACCCATCCAGCAGGGGATAGTCAGCATAATACTATGGATGCCTAGGAGAAAGTGGGGATACAAGGGGTACAAGAACAGACAGCAAGTCAACATGGCTGATCAAGCTGACTACTTTAATCATCCCAAAGTGATTTATATAGGACCATAGGTGGGAAGTGAGGAGGGGAGGGAATGGGGGTGTTGACTGCAGCTGTGATGAGCCTGTTGGAGCAAAGGTCAGTGGGAGGGGTAGGCCATCTTGTGTCTTCTGGTAACCTTACTGCAGATTTCAATTCACAATCTTATTGTCTATTGCTCAAGCCTATAGCTAAAGTGACTTGGTAATTTTATCTAGGCTTAATATTTAACTGACATATAAGCCATGAGTCTGTTTTCTTGGAACTTGCTTCCTATCTTAAGGGGCAGGGTGGCCTGATGTCACATCTTCTCTAGAAGGACGTGATAATGCTAGAGCTAGATTATGACAGAGGTCCCTGACATCCTGGATCAATCTTCCTGATCTCTCATGTCAACCTCCCCATTCCTCTTTTCCCCTCTTTTTTCTCCTATTTTGATCCCCACTCCCTCATCTCCCATGCGCACAATTTGTTTAGGAGCTCTTGTTAATTTCCCTTTCTCTGTGGACATACATATGACTCTATTAAGGTCTTCCTTGTTTCTTTGCTTCACTGAAGGTGTGGATTGTAGGCTGGTAATCCTTTGCTCTGTGTCTAATAAACACATGAGTGTGTACATACTATGTTTTTCTTTCTGTGTGTAGGGTTACATGACTCAGGATGGTTTCTTCTTGTTCAATCCACTAGTCTGCGAATTTCAAGATTTCATTGTTTTTTTCTGCTGAGTACTACTCCACTTAGTAAATGTAGCACATTTTCTTTATCCATTCTTTGGTTGAGGGGCTTCTAGGTAGGGTGCTTCCAGGTTCTGGCTTTTACAAATAACGCTGCTGTGAACAGAGCTGAACAGATGTCCTTGTTGTATGAGTGTGCATCCCTTGGGTATATGCCTCAGAGAGGAATTGCTGGATCTTGAGGTAGACTAATTCCCATTACCCTGAAAAACTGCTACATTGATTGTCAAAGCAAATGTATAAATTTGCACTCCCACCAGCAATGGAGGACTGCTCCCCTTTCTCCACAACCCCTCAAAATAAACTTTTTTTAAGTTTAGCCATTCTGACAGGTGCAAGATGCTATCTCAGAGTTGTTTTGCTTTACATTTCCATGATGACTAAGGATGTTGAGCAATTTCTTAAGTGTCTTTCAGCCATTCAAGATACCTCTCTTGATAATTCTCTATTTAATTCTGTACCCCTACTTTTTAATTGTATCATTTGGCATTTTTTGACTACTTTCTTGAGTTCTTTGTATATTTTGGAAATCAGCCCTCTGTCAGATGTGGATCTGGTGAAAATATTTTCACATTGTATAGGCTGTCATTTTGTTCTTTGCCTTACAGAAGCTTCTCATTTTCAGGAGGTTCCATTTATTAATTGTCTATCTCAGTGTCTGTGCTATTGGTGTTTTGTTCAGGAAGTGGTCTCCTGTACCAATTCACTCAAAGGTACTTTCTACTTTCTCTTCTAAGAGGGTTAGTGTGGCTGGATTTATGTTGAGGTCTTTGACCATTTGAACTTAAATTTTGTGCATGACAATACATATGGATCTATCTGCATTCTTCTATATGTCAGCATATACTTATGACAGCA